AGCCACAGAGACTTGAAGGGAATTGTTCCTTGACTGGGAGATAAAATCATGGCAGTACTCAGGATATACAATAGCTGCCAACAGCGGCGCTCACGTAGAACTCAGCATAAGGATTTACAAAAAAAACAAACAGGGACAAGACGAGTGGCTTGTGATTGAGGTGTAAATCTAGAGTAGAGATTTGTGCATAACAAATACAGTGTGACATTCAAGTATAATATATATTGAAATAAATAAATATAAAACAAAGCAAAGACAAGCTCTAAAAATGGGATATGTGTACAATTCTTTGTATTAGAGACATCTTGATTACTTAGATAAGTGTTAAAACTTATACCTTAAATGGCACAAGAAATGGAAGATGAACACCCAAGTATGGGAAATGTACCAAAGTCCACTCCTATCAAAACTATTTTGAGACTACATGCCCACCAATCAAAGAAATATGATAAAAGCATGATCGCAACCACAATCTATTGGAATTAAACTTAAGGCAGAATTCTTCCCTAGATGAAACAGTCATGAACTGGAGAAGATCAATAGGTTGCAACAACCAAGAGCATTGAGCAATCTCTCCATCAGCCGCACCGAAGCTCTACAAGCACATTATCCCTACCTTCATTTAGCTCTAAGAGATCATCAAATATCATGAATTTCTGCTGGATCTTACAGTACGGTTTTAAATTAATAGACTAATAGTTATGTCAGATAAGTACTCTTTTTAATGGGAAAAGATGAGGATGACTGAGTGTTTAGTAATACTAATTCAATGATAAGCACGTGGCTGTGATAATGCCATATCAAGCTCGTTCCATTCGTCACCTAAACTACTGTTGTAAAAGAGAAAAAGGCTTAGGTTCTTTTTAAACACTTATTAAATGATGCAACCAAAGCACATAAACAACCTTGTAAACACCAAAATGATGCACCCAATCCCTCCCTCCCTCTTCCTCTCTCTTCTGGCCATGGGAGACTTTTCTAGGTGAGGAAAGTGGCATCAATAATTACTCAAAGAGAATAAACACCCAGTTTACAGATTTAAACAAGCTATGGAAGCATTAAAGAGTGCTAGATCAAACAATTTCCTATTGAATTCACAAATGGCACAACAGTATTCAATACATACTCCTAACTACCAAGTAGCAACTATAAAGTAATAATCTAATTTGAACCGAAAATGAGAATACAGGAAGAGGTCAAAAAAGGAACCTTGTTAGAAGTTCCACTGCAGTTGAACCATAACCTAGCTGCAAGAGACCAAAACAACACATAAAATCCACAAACCAAAACGAACGTGTGATGTGCAGGCAATTTTAAAGAATTTTACCCTCAAGGCACTTGGGTGCACAGCAATGCGCACAATTCTCACACCTGAAAGACTTGGAAATACTGCATCTTGGAATTGTTGGCAAAATTTCCAAGGTATCTGGTCACCGGAAGGTTGACGGCCCTCGCTTAAACTTTTTATTGCAGATTTTCTTGATATTTGCCCTTCAAGACAAACCTGCATGAATAATTAGAAACATGTCTGATATATATACATATTCACGCTTTATAAAAAATCACTCGCGAAATTTAAATATATAACTTGTTGCAAAAAGATACAATGAAGAGAGCAAGAAAAACTACATCCCGTAGGCAGGGACTAGTCCAGGATTATTCAGCTGGGGGCACTAACTGTCACGAATGAGCAAATAAAATAAAGCATGTTATCAATTAAACCATCTTTCATTTTGTTAGTTGTAAACAAAGTATCCTTCGTAAATTTAATGATTCATAGGCTCTAGTATAATTCAATTCAAGTATCCCGACAACTAGAAAACTCAATTTGAACGCTCGCCAATACGCTTTGATGATAATCTTTTTCACTTAGAAAAACAATGCGCTTATATACATTCTCTAAAATCATAAACAGAATAGTATGACATGCCTAATAATCATTGCCGCGGTCATATATACTCTAAAAATGCCAAGTGTAACTTTTTTTGCTTTATTTGTTCATTTTAAATTATCATAAAATAGTATTTTCTAAATCAGTCCTTTAAATCTTTAATATTTTGAAATTAGTCCCTAAAACTATTAAAATTGCTAATAGGTCCTTCAATTATTCTGACTTGTTTCAAGATTAGTTTATTAAATCATTAACTTTCACTATCGGGTCTCCCAGTTCTTATAAGTTGTTTTAACTTAATCCTCCCAATCAAGAAGAGCATAATAACCTATAGAAATTGGGGTATCTAATAGCAATTTCATTAATTTGAGGTACTAATTTCAAAAAATTAAAGACTTAAGGGACAAATATCGAACAAGTCATACCAAATATTATTATTTTTCAGAGGTATTATTCAAAAGAGCATGTAGCACATGAAACCAATCGAAAAGGCTGGGTCCCATGTTCTGAAAATGGCGTTTACCTTTTGGCTCATTGTTTTGAGATAAGTTTGACAAATTACAATTGTATACTAAACTAAAAGAATAAACACCTTACTATAACCAGTTTATAACAAGTAATATAGCATAAGTTTCATGGGCATATATGAAATCAAAAATCCTTTTTTTGGGAGGAGGGGGCGGTAGGGGTTGGGAGGCGTGGGAGGGTGGGNAGAGTTCTAGCTTGTATAGCATGGGAGAGAACACATCTCTCAGATCATGTGACACATATTTTCTTCCCCCTTAGGATAGAGGGCAAAAGCTTTCCACCTAACTCTTTCAAAGTGGTGATAGAAAGAATTTAGACTGTTGGTGGAGAGCCTGCTCAAGAGAGACATCATAAAACCAAGCTGCCTCAGCCAAAAGTCTTGAGGAATGTGATCCACTATAAAGGGAGTGCATAGAAGATATTCACCTTGTTCACACAAGAAGAAGAATTAGAAGAATAAGGAGAACTAACACGACCTCTTGCAGATAAGCAGAAACATTCAAAAACCATAACTAGGTGGCAACAGAAGACTAGTAAAAGGAGCTCGATTCAATAAGCAACACGACTTCAGTATATCAGTTTTAAAAAGAGAATTGTTTGGGTGCTTGGATGTGTAAGCTGTTCAGCACATAGGTTTTATAGCTTGGCTGCACACTAAAATTCAACGAACGATTTAGGGCTACAGTCAAAGTGGTTATAAGCCACTTTTATGACTTATAAGCCACTGTTACATATTTGGCAAATGGCTTAGTTTTATATGCCACGAAAAAAAATAGGCAGCCCACCCTAGCTTATTTTTTTTGCTTATAAGCCATAAAGTTTGACTAAGTAAATGACCAGTATGCCCCTTATCATTTTACAAAATTCCAAGTTTGACCAATATGTTTAAATTTAGAGCCACATCCTTTTTGGTTATTTTGACTACAATGATGGATTCTAATCCACCAATTTGCCAAACACTCTCGTATTAAAAGTGGATTATAATCCATCTTTTTTACCAAACCAATCCATCTTTTTTACCAAACCTTGGCTTATAAGCCACTTGAATTATAATCCACAAACGGATTATAAGCGAAATAGCTTAAAGCTAAGTTCCCAAACATGCCCTTAAATATATGTCAATTATGTTCCAATAGTCCAATTCTAACCTTGCTACCTATACCTTAGTAGCTCCCCCTTCCTCTCTTTTCACTCATTCAACTTGATCACCTCCTAAACCTTAATAAACTAACACAACCCATTCCCACTAAAAAAACTACTAAATGATATGTGAATTGAATGAATGCAATGAATGACCACATTACATTCAAGAATCAAAACTACTAAAAGATATGCAAATTAAATACATGGTGATATGTGAGATCTAAGAAAATACATTTTTACCTGAATGACACAGAGAATATCTGGAAGGTGATTTTTTGACTCATCAACTGGCCCTGCATACATAAAGATTCTAATAGGTTTACCCTGACCAAAAAACCTATGAAGAACATGAGGAAAAGAACAAAAAACAAAGTTCATATAGGACTATACCAAGCAACACAAATAAGTGATGTGATGGCGCATCAGCCATCAATTGTAAGTCATTGGGTGAATTTTTGTAGTGTGAAGCAACATAAAGGGCCATCATTCGCTGCAGAAAGCAGTAGAACACAAAGGATTATATGAAATTAGTGATAGAAACGGGATGCATGTGTGTTAGACTACAAGCTAATGCTGAACCCAGTCCAAAAGTGCAAATAGGAAAGTTATGGATAGAGTAAAATATAATAATAAATATAAAAGGTGCTTACTACAGAAAGAAAAATCTATAGAACTATACCTGTAAAAAGATTTCACTCTCTTTATGGTAGGAGAATAGAGTATCCCGATTAACATAATAGAGGTCACATTCACTAGGATGTGGTAGTCTGTCATGGAGAAAGTTAAGAATTAATTCAATCGAATAACACAGATGACAGACATTATTCCACCTCAAAATTTCTCACCTGCTAATATTTGGGATGTAGCTCGCAACATCCAAGCAAAGTAGACCATTGAGCCAAGATTCAATTGGATCGCCAGAAGCATATCGGATAGATTCGTTCAATTCTATCTTCTTGAATAATCTGCCTATTGTACAAATAATCAAGCAAACTTTCTCAATTAAAATACAAGCACTTGAAATTTGTTACACATGATTAATGTGAATATTGTGATTCCCGAGGAAACTACAGATGAAGAAAATAAACAGCTCTTACCAGAATGTGGGCCTTCTGGACTCTGAGCAGAAATTTGACTTTGTGTTTCTAATTGTTGAAGAAGTTTCAACGACAATGAACGCCCAGTGCCTTCATAGCTTTCCAAAGATAAAATATGAGGAGATAGGGTGAACATTAATATCTACTAGATCTGAGCACTTTTAAACATAAGTAACTACATAGATAAATTTAGGTCATTATTTGGGGGGGTGGAGGGGGGCTACCATATGAATCATTTCAGTCCCCATTATAACATCATAAATAAGAAGGATCAAAAAAATCAAGAGAAGAAAGCTCTTAAGCTCTTACCCATTGACAGTCGATGAGAGAAAGACCAGATAAGGTCCAAGCAAGGACTTCACAACTGGTAGGGGAATTGCTGCAGCTTCATCAATAACTAGAAGCTCAACTTGAGAGAGCTTACCATGATCATGAGGCCTTAAATACTGATAATAAGAAATAATAATAATAAACATCACAGGTGAGTTGATCATTTGAATATGATTGATGAAATATTGGTCAAATAGTGTAAGAATAAAGAATCAACATCTTTCATCCACGGTAAGAATCACTAATAGCTGAAAGACAGAAAACTACCAGAAATTATAAAGCAAATACGCAAATGGTACTGAAGAACGGATGAAATATAGTTTGCAAGAAATGTCTGTTAGGAAACTGATATGAGTTATTTGCTATGTCACCTGGGCACTTCAAAGCAGAAGCTGTACCCGTACCCTACACATACCCGCACCAGTAACAAAACTTCTTGGACACTACTTGAATATATGCATACTTCAGGCGTATAGTCAATTATATAATACATGTTTTAATTTAAAACAACCCTCATACACTTCTTGGACATATATTCTACATTTCACATCTATTTCTTATATATTGATCTTTTGTAAATGAAAAAATATTAGTCTTACGTATATTATAAATCTTAAGACATATATATATATATATACATATATATATATATATATATATATAATATATATATATATATATATATATATATATATATACACACACACACACACACATATAGCCGTGCCCCCACACACCTCTTTTACAAATTTGTCGTGACCTGTACCCACACCCATACCCACGCCCATGCAGCTAAGGTATTTGATTAACTACTACAGAATGATAAAATGATTAATCAATGTCAGCAGAAAAACGGTGTGAGACAAGAAACTTCAGGTATCAGTTAAGTGCTGAACCAAGTGATAACTCATAACTCAGATCATAATCAAAATACGGCAAAATCAGACCTTCTGAATCCAATATTGATGGAAGAGATTACATCTGTCTACCTTGGTTATCAATGTTAATCTATCCTGATCACACCCAAGAAATTGCAGGACAGCAGGAAGAACCAAGAGATTTTTTATACCAGTGGCTGTAATAGAAAACATTCACAGTGCCGAGACAAGTCAAAAAGCAATGTGCACGCGTTTCAAGTGATGGGTCTATTCATACTAACCTGCATGTTACTAAATGAATACAATCACTTGGTTTCAACAGGATATGAGAAGGTTTACATGAATAAAATAGCATCATAACAAATTTAGGTTTTGTTTGTTGAAATTATACCCAGTATACTAGTCAGGTCCATTGAAGAAGAAAAAGACTGGAATATGGTGGTGGGTGATTACAGGTGAAAGTGCAAATAAATCAGGACTTTCCAAGGTTATATATGACACTTGCTTTTAAGTGATGATAAAAGGAAGACACTGTTTGCCTACCATAAATTTCATAATAGCAAACATTATAGGGACGAGATTTATTAGAGAGAGAACAGATTTAAGCAGATTGCGGAAAAACAATATTATAATTCTTTCATAACTTTCCGTTCTGATCCACACCTTTACTGTTGCAAACTTGCAATGCACCTAGCTACAAATTAACTCTGAGTTACATATGCGAAATGAATCTTCACTAATAATATTCTAATTTCCTATTGCACTGGTCATAAAATTGTATATCAACTGTTAGAACAAAAGTTCCACATACTTGAATTGTCTGACGATGTTGTTTGTAGATATTAATCTGAACAATTGCTTTCTTGAATTCAGGATCAGTGCTCCGCACCAAATCATATTGCAAATGTTCCTGCAAGTAATAAAATTCATTATATTTATAAAGGTAGGAGATAAATTATGTGGCATATCTTTGAGCCAAAAAGAGCATAAGCTGAAAATGAAAAGATGAACTTGACAAACAAAATAGAGTTATCGAAATTTTTTCTCAGGCTCATAACATGGACATGTCTGAAAAAATGATCCCTAGTGCATTAATATATTAACTCCCGCGTGCCATAGGATATAATCCGACCATTATGGTATTAAGTTACCCATCAAAACATTCAAACTAATCCCATTCAATTTTTGTTTTGAAATTGCAATTTGCAAATATTTTACATAGTACCCTTTTTGTGTATAAGTATTGAAATATTGGAATGCCGTAGGAGATCAATTTTTTTCCAAAAAAGTGTCGTATGCAGGTCATAATCGTCAAGATAAAAACAGAAGCAAAGGAAGAGAAACTCAATGGCAGGTGAAGTGAATAATGTGTTTGTCGGATATCCTTCCATGGACTACTAATGAGTTTACTAAATGAGCAAACTAAATTATTAGTTAAGAGGAAGTAAAATGAATAATGACTGGGGAATAATAAAATTGGCAAATATCAAATGAGAAGAACAATGTACCTTATACTCCAACGAATTCAATCCTTTGCAGACAAACTCAAATAGAGTTTTAAGGTTCTCAGGGCTTGGTGCAGTGACAAATATGTTTGAATACCTGGAGAAGGTATCTGGCATCTTAGGACTCAAAAAATACACAGTCAAGTAAAAACATGTCCAATGGTGCCCAGTTCAGAATTCTACCCTGCAGCAACAGCCCCTGCAACAGCAAGACCCAGTGCAGCTGATTTTCCACGTCCCCGAGCAGCAATCAGGGCAACAGTACTTCTTAATGTTTTATCTAGAACTGCATCAAGAAAAGTGATGACAGCTTTTCCCTGAAATAAACAAATCGATTACTAGCTTACCCATGATAAATCTACAATCAACTAGTTGACATATAATATTAAGGATTCACAAAGTTTCAGCATGAACCTGATCCATTGTACAACACTTCCCAATCAGAGGGCCAACAGGAAAATCATCGTGAAATTGCTCTTTCAAGCTCTTCAGTTCACGTTCCCTTTCAGATAGCCCCTCCGGATCCTTAAGAAATGAACATAAGTTCATAAATGCATAAAAAAGGTTAACTATTATAACAAAACAAAACAAAAAAAGATAAGAAAAAGATAAGGAATAAAGCAACAAATGTATCCTAAATTCAGCGACAAAATATTTCGTGTAAGTACCAGTACAATTAAAAAATCAAATGGGATACAAACTCAACAACAGTACAACATAACTGCACACTTAAGAAAGTTACCTCTGTGACTGCAATGGGTTCGATATTTCTTATGTGAGATGATATTGGTAAAATGTTCAGTTCATCATCCATTACAACGCATGCCTTGCATGATGCAATAGACAGCAAAAAGCGTTCATTAAATCGTGCAGTAGGCTGGGAATGAGACTCTGTCCGGAACCTTTCATGCACATCCTGAAACCAAGAAAAGTAGAAGTGATGCAGTTTGTAGCTTGTACTGCTTGTAAATCAGTACTACGACGAACATCAAAGCCTCACACCCAATGTAGGTAATAAATATATGAAGCACAAATTCTCACACACGAGAGGTACGGCTTGTCATATAAACAGTACATTAACACAAATAGCAAAACTAAAACATGCAAACTAAAGCTTGAGGCAAAGACTAGCTAAAGCATAAGCATCAAAGCAGTTATGATTTAGCTTGTAAATAAAGTAATCAGTAAAAACGACACGTACCATGACCAATGTATAAAGATTAGTAAGTGATGATAAGGAGCGGAGCAACAAGACTACTAAGCCACCTCCCTCCACGGTCTCAATAGTTCTGGCGAGGAGATTAGGATTCAATGCTTCAAAATCCTACAATAGCAATATCATCCTCATCAAAGATACAGTGGAACTATATAACGACAAAAATGTTGACAAAGAGAGCAAACCTGTAAGATGCACATGCCAAATGTATTTCCAAGAACTCTTTCTGAGTCTTTGTACAAACAATAAGTTATGTTTCCGCTTTCGACAAAAAGTGAAAAGGGGTCCACTTTTTCGGGGTCCAGTAATCCCTTTTGCATCATCTTCTTTACTTGTTTTGCACGTTTTTTCTTGTGACTGAAATAAGAAACTCCTTCATTCAGCTTAAAAGCGATTTATTACAAAACAGATTTAGATAAAAGGTTCGCTAAATGGCATAAGTGATCTAAAAGGAACAACAGTTAGGAACTATAGAGTAACTTCATGAAGATTTATGGGCAGTAATGTTACAGGGTAAAAACGAAAAAATCAAAAGCATTCCATCTTAAAGCTTGGTTCTAAGCTCGTGAGTGATGTCATCCACAATATATATTTTAAAGTTCACACCCAATGCCATAGGATTGCTTAGTTACACAATAGAGAGTTATAGCAAGATGCCCAATTGAACTGTGGTAATCTACCCTTCAGGCAATGTTTTAAAAAGCCTCGGTCTAGCCCGCCTAGGTGTCCACGTAGGCCTAGGCAGTACCTAGGCCGCTCGCCTAGCACCTTGCCGGTACCTAGGCTTTGGAAGCATTTAGGAGCGTGGCCTGCATATGTGGACTGCACCCTTTAGGCATTAATTGTGATTTCCTCCACTGCAGCCTCCATGTCCTCCAACCTCCTCGAAACTCCTCCAGCCTCCAACTATGAACACCTCCTTCAACCTTAAGCAAAACTCCATCCACCACCACTTAAAACGAAGATGGAAATCCATATAGGCGCCAGTCCAACGCTCTATGGATTGGCGCTTACTATCAATTATTATAATTAAAAAAATAAAACATAGGAAAACCCCATATGCCCCACCAAGGCTCCCTAGGCGTCTAGGCTCTACGTGTCGGGTCCAATGCCTAGGCCGCCAAAGTTTCTTCTGTATGGTTACTACTACTTTTATATACTGCACAAAAATTTCTAACTTTTGTTTCAGAAATATAAAATTAGGGCACAAGAGCGCACCTGCTGAGCTCTAACTTCTCCTTGTAGCACCACAACACAGTAGGACGAGATTTCACCACTGATTTGCTCAGCATATAGTGGAGATTCACAATCTGTATACATCCAAACGTTCAGTGCCTTAAGAATTGTACGAATTTGAAAGAACTAAGCAGAGGTTGCATGTGACCTGATCTCGAGATTTATCGCCGACGATGACGAACATTGAGCGGTGCCTCAGCTTGACCCCGTTCTCGATTAGGGTTCGAATCCGATCGTCCACCTTCTTCCTCATTGTTGCTGATAGATTCGCTCTCCGGTTCCAAAGGCTCTCGCTGTCTCCGTTCAAATGCTAGGGTTTTGGCGATGGCCGTCGAATGAAAATCGAGGGGCGAGGGTTTTAGAGATGGGAGGGAGGTTTTCATCGGAGGGTTGGCCCATATGCGGATCGGGTTTGTCGGGTTTAAAATACTTTTACCCGAACCAATGCAACTGGGCCCCAAATAAATGGATCGGGTCGCGGCCTTGTCTGGCTATACACCTTACCCGGCCCTAAATATTTTACGGCTTCTTAAGGGGATGTGACGTCTGTTATTCAGTTCCTCCAATTTTCCAATGATCGTATGTATATGTTTCTCCGTGATGTTTGGAGACGTGCAAAGGATTCTTATCGGTTAAGATGTTTCATATTTATAGAGAAAGCAACGTTTCGACAAATATAGTTGCCAAATGAGTGACAAAGGGAGTAGATGAATTTTTTTCCTCTCTCTCTCTCTCTTTTTTGTCCCAACCTCATACTAGATGAGGATTTGCACGGGGCGTATGTATTTAGGGGGTGTTTGGCAATCTGAAAGTGAATTTAAAATATGTAAGATACTTTTTTTTGCAAATGAAAGATGTAACTAATTTAAAATATGTAAGTTACGTAGGGGTGTTTGTTTGCATGCAAGTGAAAGATGAAAGTGGGAAATTTACTTTCATTTAACAATTAAGGTGTTTGTTTTCATGTAAGTGGTTATGAAAGTGAGATGTAAGAAAGTTGCTATATATGATTTAGTGGGTGTTTGTTTGCATGCAAGTGAAAGATAAAAGTGAGAAAGTTACTTTCATTTAACAATTAAGGTGTTTGTTTTCATGTAAGTGGTTATGAAAGTGAGATGCAAGAAAGTTGTCACATATGATTTAATAAAATTTTGACTTCCCCTAAAAAAGTGGTGAAGTCACATGAAAGTGAAAAAAAGGAAACTAATTTTATTAAATGATTTTAATTATACTCTCTAATTAATCTTATTTTGTCACGTCATCTTCACATTGCACTTTCGATAATAATTTAATTTTTCAAACAAACACTGTATTTCACTTGCGTGCTGACATGGATGTAAAAGTCATTTGCAAAAAAAGTAACTTATATATTTTAAATTCACTTTCAGATTGCCAAACACCCCCTTAATGTAATTTTGACTTCCCCTAAAAAAGTAGAAGTGACAAAAAGGTAACTAATTTAATTAAATGATTTTAATTATACTTTTTAATTAATCTTATTTTGCCACGTCATCTTCGTATTGTACTTTCGATAATAATTTAATTTTTCAAACAAACACTGTATTTCACTTGCGTACTGACATAGATGTAAAAGTCATTTGCAAAAAAACAACTTAAGGGGGTGTTTGTTTGCGTGCAAGTGAAAGATGAAAGTGAGAAAGTTACTTTCATTTAACAATTAAGGTGTTTGTTTTCATGTAAGTGGTTATGAAATTGAGATGTAAGAAAGTTGCCACATAAGATTTAATGCAATTTTGACTTCCCCTAAAAAAGTGGTGAAGTCACATGAAAGTGACAAAAAGGTAACTAATTTAATTAAATGATTTTAATTATATTTTCTAATTAATCTTATTTTGCCACGTCATCTTCACATTGCACTTTCGATAATAATTTAATTTTTCAAACAAACACTGTATTTCACTTGCGTGCTGACATGTATGTAAAAATTATTTGCAAAAAAAAGTAACTTACATATTTTAAATTCACTTTCAGATTGCCAAACACCCCCTAAATATTTTTCAAACAAACATTGTATTTCACTTACGTGCAGATTTTAATTTCATTTTCCAAAAGCTATAAATCCTACGAGCCTTTTAAAAATGTAACTTAACAGGTAGTTTATTTGTGTATGTATATATCTTATAGTTGCATAAACTTTTGTATAATGAAGTTTAAAATTCGCATGTCTCGTTTATTTTTTACGGCACTATTTATTTACTTATGCAAAAGTTTTTAAAATTGACACTTTATAGTTCAGTACGTGCTGTCAGTCAAATATTTAATTTATTTCAATTTCAATTCTATTTGAAAGTAAAATTGGAATGAGGTTTAACCACTGATCTAATCTAATGATTAGCCAATTCCATCAATGTTAAAGCGCTCGCAAACTTTTAGGTGCGGGCTGAGGAAGCAATCAATTAATGACCGAAACGCCACCGCGTATATTTAAAGCTAACCCCCCACCCTCGTTCTCCTCTCTCTTTCATCAATTTTTTTCCCCAAACTTTTGTCGTCCGTTCAAATTCCGTTAGGGTTTCGACGGTCGATCTCGATCCCAGATTTCATCATGAATCCCGAGTAGTAAGCTTCTCTACCGGATCTATTTACTCCGTTGATTTGTTTTTCTGGGGGGATTTTTTGCTGTCTAGGGTTAAGCTTTTGATTGGATTCTCCAAATTATGTCTAGTTCTCTCTGTTTGATCCTTTGAATTGTAGATTTTGCTCTTGTTCTCGCGATCTTGTGAAGTTTGGTCGTTAATTATAGTGCGTTAGATAGCTGATTTAACCAATCTCTGATGAAATAGTTGATTCGATTGTCAAAGATTGTGTAAGGTCTTGATTTTTTTTCCTCGTGATTATTAGGTAGCCAGTATTTACTTAGTATCTTTCCTTGTTGCAAGTTTGATTAGACACGACTAGATTTCTCTTTCTTACTGTAACACTGTTAGCAAATATTTTTGATTTCAGTAGTATTTAGATGATTAGATAGAATGTTGGATGATATCGGGCAGTGGGGTGTCTATGAGTGAGTATATGACATGATTTGGAAAGATCATGAATGTTTTGGCAATATGATTGTGGTGGTATGCCGTGAATCTGACGGAAATCGATAAATAGTTGAGATGAGCTAGTTGCATTAACCCATTAGGTTGATTACCTTATCTTTTATACATATTTTCGAGCATTTTATGAATAATAATTGATGGCTATTCAAAATTTTGTTGTTAGGCCTTACTTGAAGGAAGATATAGTAGTTTATAATTAGCCTTCACGATCTTCACAAGTCCATATTCACCATTATAAAAGCTATTTCCACTCGGGATTTTAATTCTTCAACTGAATGTGACTTAAGTTTTTGATAAGGATGGCTATCCCTTTCTTTAACTTTTGGAGCGAGTAGCTATCCACATGCATATTTGTGACAACAGTATACAAATATCTGTTTCATGCAAGCTTGAAATCTTTGATGAAAAGAGATTAGTATTCTTGGCGATTGGTATGAACTGACTCGACTCACTTTAATTCATGTCGGAGTTCCCATCTCCTCTCCCCACTTTATGCATTTTGAACAAAACTTAGAGTGCATGAGAATTATTGCAGAAGGCCTTGTATGAAAGTGGTGGACTAGCGCAAGATAAGCACATGCTGTTTGGTTCCATAGGAGTTACATGTGTTTCCCCCCATCAGTTTTAAAAAGCTTGATTTGTAGGTTGATCCTCATATGCTCTGACCCTTCTGAAGAACTGTGTTTTAACTCCTTTTTCTCTGTTCTTATTCGTCCCTAGTTTCTAGTTCATCTTAAAACCAGGTCTAACAACAATTTCATTCTAACTCCATGATAGTGTAAAGAACTCACCAATCTCTGCCTTGATCATTGTATGGTACCATAGGTGAATGATCTAGAGAATATCCTGGAATGGAATATGTTAATATATTTGTCTCCCCTCCTGAATTATTGAGTTTGAGAAGCATAGGAAGGAAACATACATTTTTTTTAGTAAAGACACCAATCTCTGCCTCAATCATTATATGGTACCATAGGTGAATGATCTTGACAATATCCTGGAATGGAATATGTTAATATATTTGTCTCCTGGATTATTGAGTTTGAGAAGCATAGGAAGGAAACATACCCTTGTTTAGTAAAGAGACCAAGTGCCCTAGTACCTTACTCTTTCCTCTATCGAAGTAGAGCTAGCACTGTATATTTTTTAGCCAACACCAAGTGCTCTTGTACCTTGATCTTTTATTATTCCAACTAGAGTTGACTATATATAGGTTGTTGATCAACTCATCTATTTATTTAATCAAATCATCTTCTTTCCCTGCTACAACATCAGTATAAATGCTAGAAAGTTCATATTTAATTTGCTTCCAAGACAGGTACTGATATCTTGAGGTGTCAGTATCTTGTGTTTTTTGTGACAACCAAAGCTTCATGCCATTCTTGAAAGGACCGTGGAAATGTACATTTTGTTGAGTTTATCTTTATTGATCTACTAAAAAGTTTCTTATTTGCAATATCAAGTAGCTGTATCCCTTTAACAAAGTAATTTTTGTTCTTCCCCTTGACATTGAGACGTTGTTGGATCTTGTTTTTATTTTCACTGGTCATCTTACTTGACCAAAAGATGTTGTAGACAAATCAGTAAGAAAGCACGCATTAATATAAGGAAATAAACACTACTTCCCAACGATGTTTACAGCTCCTCTGTGGAGATGTGTACTGTAGATGAATCAGTAAGAAAGCACACATTAATATAAGGAAATAAACTCTGCTTCCCAACAATGTTTACGGCTTCTCTGTGAATATAACAATTAATTTCATTGTTGGAGACCTGTTTTTCAGACACTAATCTTAAACAAGACCAAGAAGTAGATGTAGAACCAATGTGACAAACTAAATAAGTTATGCTTCTTCAAACTTCTTTAATCCTTTATCAAATTGCATCAGATGAGCCTACAGAGATACAGAGTCTATGGTCTGTGTCCAATGTGTTTTCTGTTCTTTTTGTTGCTCATTGGGCAACTGCAAATGGTGATATACAAGAAGCAGGTGTTATATGAGACTCTTGGCATGTGTGTTTATATCAAATGGCATATGGTTTTGCATTTGAAGTGGTGTTATCTTCTTGCTAGGAAACAAGCATATGATAACTAATGTGTTTTTCCTCTGCAGTGACTACCTCTTCAAGCTGTTGCTCATTGGTGATTCTGGGGTTGGCAAGTCATGCCTTCTTTTGAGATTTGCGGTAAAACGTCTATGAATATTCCTTTCTTATTCATTTTTTTGGCAAGTTTTATTCTACAAGTTCTTTTCTGGTTTATTTTCAATGCCATTGTTGTTATTATTGGCACCATACTTGGTGTACTGTAAGACTACCTTGCAAGCTATCTAGATTGGCATTATCTGATGGAAGTGTGGCATCAGAATTCAGAAAGATGTGTAATAGTGATTAACAACAACTGAAAGATGTGTTCTGATGATACATTAAGTAAATTATAACTATCATATTGCTTTTTCATTGAAATAATTCCTCCTTCAAGCACAACAGAGCATGTGAAAGTAATGTATATGTGCTATGCAATTTTCGTATATCTATAACGCCTGGTTTGGTATGGGGGAATGAGTGGGAATGGAATGTCACTTCTCACTTCTCATTCCTCCCTACCAAACATGACCTCTTTTTGAAGTTGGAATGCCCATTTCCACTTCTCATTAATTCCCACTTTATGGGAGAATGAGCATTCTTAATGAAATGGCAGGGAATGGGCATTTCCACTTAAGTGGGAATCAGTAAAATACATAATTTCCAAATACATCCATTCTCACTTCATTCTGTAAATTGCTCCCAAATGTGAGAACAGAAATGAGCATTCCACTCACATTAATTCCCTTCCACTCCTTACACCATGCCGTTCTTACTTCGCTCAATTCTCGCATACCAAACAAGGCGTAAGGGAATGATGATAGGTGTTCTGATTTTATTTTGACTGGGCTTTCTTGTCCACTCGAGATATTGGAAAAGTCAACTACAAAATGAAAGAGTAGAATATTATTTGATCAGGATGAATATACTGTATCAGTGTATCTACTAATTAAGTTTATTTATAGATGTAGAAAATTTGTTATAAGTGATTATACTTGATTTCTGCAGGACGATTCTTATTTGGAGAGCTATATCAGTACAATTGGTGTAGATTTTGTAAGTGAAATTACCTTGACCAAATCTTATGGGCTATCCTCCATAATCACTGACAATTCTTAATTTCAAATTTGATTTGCCTTTCCAGAAAATCCGCACTGTGGAGCAGGATGGTAAAACTATAAAACTTCAAATAGTAAGTACAAAATCTATTCTTCTCTGTCAATAGTAAGTATCTGTCTCCCACTGTCTTCTTACCTATAAACCTTTGCGTGTCTAGTGGGATACTGCTGGTCAGGAGCGTTTCCGGACAATCACAAGTAGCTACTACCGTGGTGCTCATGGCATAATTGTAAAATCTGAACTTTACCATTCATTGCTAGTTCTTTCATTTCGGTTGAAGCTCTGAAAAAGGGGTGTATATATAACAAATTTTTATTTGGCAGGTCGTTTATGATGTGACTGATCAGGAAAGTTTCAACAATGTTAAGCAATGGCTGAACGAGATTGACCGCTATGCAAGTGACAATGTGAACAAACTTTTGGTGGGAAATAAATGTGATTTAACGGATAAGAGGGTAGTTTCTTATGAAGACGGGAAGGTAATTAATTACTTCTGAATCTATTCTCGTAAATGTGTTACATTGCAAAGGATTGACTTGTGCTAACCATTCCATATATTGCGACTTAGATATTTATCTCTAAAAGTGTGAAGTTTTGCTCCTCTAAAGGCACTTGCAGAGGAGATTGGCATCCCTTTCCTGGAGACTAGTGCCAAAAATGCCACTAATGTCGAACAAGCATTCATGACTATGGCAGCAGAGATAAAGAATCGGTGAGTTTTTGTTTTCCTGGTTTGTACTATTCTCTCTTAAAGTATTCACCGCCCTTGAGATTAAAGTTTTGTTCGGAATTTTCTTTAATCATTATTCATGATGTTTGTTTTGAACTAATGCTCGATTTAGGGGCTGTTTCGTTCAATGTAACTATAGTTGTTATGCAAGTACCAGGTTTTGCTTTGGACTCAATGTTAAGAGTTGATTGCATTTGGAGTATAATCTTACCCCAATTTGTATATCAAAAATGTTGCAACTGTGAGTTACGTCCAAATCCATTTGCGCACAAGTCGTTTGCTGCGACTGGAGGCTGTTTTGCAATTGTAGTCGTACACGTATATATTGCCTTAATGTAAAACTCCGCTTACTCTATTTTTTGATGAACTGCCATGACCTCACAATGCCTTGTTATATATCCCTTGTAGGATGGCGAGTCAACCAGCTGCAAACACCACCAGACCCGCGACGGTGCAAATGAGAGGGCAGCCGGTAGGTCAGCAGAGCAGCTGCTGCTCTTAATTCTTACTTTTCTCAAGGAGTTGGTTTCTCCTGGAGATCAGATGACTCTGTCCTATGAAGGAAGAACACTGGCATTGAGCTTAATTGTTGATTAATTCCGCCTGTGTATATACTGATAACCATCGGAAAACTCTTCATGGTTTGTAGGTGTGAGCAGTAAGTAAATCAAAATGTTTGTGTGTGATCTGGGTAGGAATCTATCTATTCCCTTTAGACAGAATCCTGTAAGTTTGTTTCTGAAATATTCGACACTTAACAATTTCATGGATCCAAGTTCATTTCATGCTGTGTTGTCGGTATGATTTGATAGGGTGTATCAGACTGAGATGTTCTTCAAATATGTGGTCCCAATTAGTTGGGAGTAAATATTTTCTTTGTTGTAAGTTGGAGGTAACTGATGCGTTATTATACAAGCTACCAACTATGTTAGTGCAAGGAGAAAGGAACTGTTCTAGTAATAAATGAAAAGACAAATAGTTTCAGAATGGAAATGTTTAGGATGAAGGATTTATGGCGTGAATGTTAGAACTGTGAGCTCATCCCTATTTGGTAATAAGGATGAATTTTTGGTTCAGATTAAATCTCAATAATTGGATGCCAGATAAAAGAGCCGACAAAAGAAGGATTATGATGTATAGTAACTCAATTTGTATCCACGTTTTTAATGAACAAATTATAAATTATCCATCCGTTAGAAAAACCAATATGAAAATGTAGTCCTCTTTCATCTCTCTAAATGAATTTGATTTGTAATACACGCAACAAAAATGAATATATTTCATTCAGGTTGTTTGAAATAAATTGTTAGGCTTGAAACTACTTCACTCAAATGAGTTCACATTACAATCTTAACCCACTACATTACATCATCAACAGATGAAGTCACTAATCATATATTAAGCAGCAAATCAACTACAGCAATCAAATATCCATTTGATTCGTAGGGCAATTCTTCATGTAATATATAAATGTAAGAATTTACATTATCTCAATCCATCGGATCTTCCCTCAATGTTAAAAACAAGCCTCAATGTTAAAAACAAGCCGATCGCTGACCTTCGATATAAGAACCTGAAGATAAGAGAGTTATAGATAATACTTTTAGATACCAAGCATGTATTTATAAAAACATCCAGAGGCATGAAAATATTCAACAAATCTCAAATTACACAAGAAAATCTCCAATAAGAGTAAAAGCTAAATAGAACTGACATAAACAGTCTCGACACCAATAAAAAAACAGCAAGTCTTCAAGCTAAGGAAACAAAAAGGGGCTATCAAGGGCCCTATCCCATCAGAAACTTGCATCTTAATTCTTAACAGCCTGTCTGTTCCTCTTCTTTGCACCAGACTTGGTAACCTTGAGACTCTTGTGAACCGCGCTGAGCCTCGCGAGGGCTGCCTTTGTCAGGTCCGGCCTGTAGTAATTGTCAGTCACCTACACAGCAGAAGTGGCGTAAAAATGTTTGCATCTGACAACTTGTAAACAAGGAAGAAAGCTGGAAAATAATCCACAAAGCTCACATTTTTTCACTTATCATTGAAGCACAAGAACATAAAGAGACATGTAAGGAAAATGCATGGGGGAAGCACCGTCCTATTATAGTGTTACTAAAGCCATCTAAATGCCAGAAGGGGATCCCCTAAAAAAGAAACAACTAAGCCTTTTTAGAAAAAGGAATTTTGATATAGGAATGGTGTACAGGACGACAACTGGTTTTCCTACACAAGTTGCCAAGAGACGAACTAAAGGTGAGGCCCATCCCACTACTCACATAAGAGGATCTCACAAGTCACAACTACCATTTCTCAATGATTCATTTTCTTCTTGCAACCATTGTTTGGTTTGGTTGTCTATATTATACCAATCAATAGGGTAAAATGTAACTGCTATAAATTCAAATCATAGATTTGGCTTTTCAACTGAAAATCAGCATTGTTGGATTTATCAATGCAATATTACCTGACAATATTACCTGGTAATGTATTAAGGGCATTCCCCAATTATTTAACTAATTTAAAGCCATATTCTAACTTGTAAAAAGATACCAAGAGAAGGTGGTGTTCACCCAAGGCCAAGGTCTAGTCTGCAATATTAGGATTCTAGGTATTATTATGAATATTTGATGATTTGAGGAGTGGACAAGATGCTCAGAAGCCAAGCGTAACAAGAATATTTCATTGAAGACCCTGCTTTAAGAGAGGACTTCTTACATGTTAGCAGCTCATCATAGCAAAATTACCTGGATTAAACTCATCTGATGTTATTTTTTATGGTTACCACGTTATCAGTTGGAAAAGTATAGAATTAGTTATGCAAAGAAGATGCTCTAACCAACTCAAAGTTTAGGTTTCAATTGGAAACATTGAAGTTTATGAGATTGATATGTGAAAATCATGAATACAAACGTTCAGGGCTTTATTGCTGAAAAAGGACAATGAAGCTCAGAAGCCAAGCGTAACAAAAATATCTCACAGAAGACCAAATGTAACAAATGGTCTTCTTACATGTTAACAGCTCATCACAGCAAAGTTGTCTTGATATCAAAATTAAAAATAAATAAAACAAATGCTCAGAAGCCAAGCGTAACAAGAATATTTCATTGAAGACCCTGCTTTAAGAGAGGACTTCTTACATGTTAGCAGCTCATCATAGCAAAATTACCTGGATTTAAACTCATCTCATGTTATTTTTTATGGTTACCACGTTATCAGTTGGAAAAGTATAGAATTATTTATGCAAAGAAGAACGCAAATGTGGATGCTCTAACCAACTCAAAATTTTGGTTTCAGTTGGAAACATTAAAGTTTATAAGATTGATATGTGAAAATCATGAATACAAACGTTCAGGGCTTTATTGCTGAAAAAGGACAATGAAGCTCAGAAGCCAAGCGTAACAAAAATATCTCACAGAAGACCAAATGCAACAAATGGTCTTCTTACATGTTAACAGCTCATCACAGCAAAGTTGTCTTGATATCAGAAGCCAAGTGTAACAAGAATATTACATCAAAGACTAAATCTAACAAAGAGGTCTCCTTACGTGTTAGCAGCTCGTCATGCAAAGTTTTCTTGAGATCAACAATAAATGAACAAATAAAAACAAAGAGGCAAAAAAGGGTTCTTAATTGCTTATGAGGCAGGCTAACTCAAGCAAAAGAAAAAAAACACTTAGAATTACGTCCTCAAGATTAATATGTGAATCATAAATATAAATGTTTAGAATTGTATTGTCAAAATAGACCAACAAAGCTCAGAAGCCAAGCGTACCAAGAATAAGGTCTTTCTTAAGTACTTATTGGGAAGGCTAACTCAAAAAGAAAAAACCGTGAGATTATGTTCTCAAGATTAATATGTGAATCATAAATATAAATGTTTAGAATTGTGTTGTCAACATAGGACAACAAAGCTCAGAAGCCAAGCGTAACAAGAATATTTCACGGAAGACCAAATCTAATGAAGTGGTCTTCTTACATGTTAGCAGCTCATCATAGAAAAGTTGTCCAGAGATCAACAACAAATTATAAATAGAACAAAGAGAGGTGTGTTTCTCAAGCGAAAGAGGGGGGCATTGAAGAGCAATAAGTAAAAACTCCCTACTCTGATAGCAGATTTTATTTATGAAAGAAAGTTCAAAGGAGACAATCCCTACACTCTCACTTAGAAGAATAAAATGAATAACTTTTTCAGATCATGGCATCTCCTACTTCCATCATTTTCATCCTTATAAAGCTATTACAAAAATGTAAATCTAGAATTAACAACAGCAGAACCCACCTTCTAAAACCTAATTTTATATCTTATATCTCGCTACGGAAGTAGAAAATTGGAATTTTGGACAAGCAAACAATATCTACAAACACATGATGGATACATCAAATTACATCTAAATCATGATAAAGTATTCAAATTAAATATGTTTCAAAACCTTATACCTGGTTAACGACTGCCTTCGCCATCTTCGGGAATTCCTTCTTCATCACCGACTTGTGGTAAAGGCTAGCAGGCTTTCTCTGCTTCTTCGTCTTGGACGTCGCCAATACAACAGCGAGCCCCTCACCTGCTGGCTGAATGCTAACAGTCTTCCTGTTTGCCAAACCTAAAAAAATAATTCAAGACAAATCAAAAAACCAATTATAAGAAAAAACATGATAGAAACTGAGGCCCAAATGATGTATACCGGAGTGCTTGAAGGAGTGAGCATTGTAAAGGTTGTTCTTTTCCTTGCTGAACTGAACCTTGGCAGTGCTGTTCCCAAATTGCTTCACCAGAAAAGCATTGTTTTTCTTGACAATCTCCCAAACTAGATCACCAGAAACTGAAGCCATTTCTATATCAATAAAGTTTAGCATTAGATAACCACTCAAATCTTATTTATAAAGATGATAAACATGGAAGAAGACTTTCAGATTCATAACAAAAGAAAACTAAAATATTACCAAATCAACCCGCTTTCTATAAATCTCAAAAAATTGAGAAAAAAACCTTCTAAATTCTACATTTTTTCGACAAAGAACGATCCCTCGAATGCTAATGAATGATCTTAAGAAACAAATTATCACAAATAAATGGCAGAAAAGATCAGAGATGAGAGAATAACAAAAAAAAATGACTTTTTGTGTCGATAATATACAACAGAAAAACCCTAGAAATGCTGAGATCGAAGGCCATAAGATTGATAGATTGATAGATAGAAGGTAGAAATAATCAAAGATATTGAACTTACCGAGATGAGTAATTTGATGAGATCGCCTTGCGCTGCTGCGGCCTCCAAGGTTTGGGTGTGCTTAAAACCCTAGAGCGCTGGTTCATAAAGGGTCGACATCTAGAAACCCTAAGCTCGAACGTGACGAAATGTCGTTTTTGCCCATTAGTGGGTAGGTGGTGTTATGCAAAAAGAAAATGCATTAGGGGTTTTGTACAATATAAAATCGGGTCCGGGAACTGGATCCGAACCCGAATTGCAGAACATTGTACAAATGGGTCTTTTTACAAAAAATAAAAATAAAAACAATTCCAACAATATCATTTTGGAAGAATAAAAAAGTTATTATCATAGTATTATTACTTTTATAAAGGAAACTGAGTATTCGGAATTGAATATGCTAAGAGGCTGTTTGTTTCATTTCCTGAAACTATACGAAATATTTCTTGGTAATAAAAATTATTTCAAGCTATTTTCAACTTTTCACCAATTTCCACCGCAAAACATTTTCAAGTTTGAATTGGTAGAGATGGGTGAGCGGACTAATGCGGCAGATTGCTAATCCATTCTACGAGTTATTTGTACCACATGTTCGAACCCCTACTCTCTATGCTTCCTCTGATTACTTCAGAATTTCCAATGTGAAAAAATTTAATCCTTTTTTTTTCATCATAAGTATATGTATGGAATATATAAGAAGTAAAGAAAAACTCTAATATTATTCCTCGCGCCTAGGATTACGGCCCGGGTCGTTAGATTAGAATCCGAATATGAAGATGAAGAGAGAAACAAAAAATATCAGTATTGTGTAAACGAAGAGTTTGAGAGTAAGCATCACATAATCTCCAAGATTTTTTTTCGATAAAAAGAAAACAGATTGCTTTTTTTCCTTACATACGCCCCTAGATTTCGATTTCTAGGAGTCTGGTAGGGTTTTATCCAGTTGATACAAATCTTTTCCATAAAAGAGGAAACAAACACAAGAATAGATTCCTATAATGCAGAATCTTTTGGTGAGGGTCCTGGTCCCCAATGTCTTCGATCCAAAAAATGTGAAACAAACAGCCCCTGCGTGTCAAAAATGTTTCTCATGATTTTAATATTAGGTTTTAACTTTAGTATCATCAACGCAAATCAGACAACTATGCAAGACACAATTTTGACTTATATTCCATATTCTACAGATTACATTATTTATTCAAGAACAACAATTTACAATTTTGTGCAGAGTAAATTCAGATCCAGAAGATGTTGCAAATTATGGAACATTGTAACTAATAAGGAGAACAAAAAATTTGCAGAACCCTACCAAGGATAAACTTGCATTTCACCTTAAGGGCTTGTTTGGATTGAGGGGAATGAGGGTGAAGGGAAGTTAGGGGAACCATTCACCTCCATTCACCTTGTTTGGGAACATTTAGGAGATGAAATTATTCACCCTAGTTCCCCTTGGTTCACCCTCTAATAGTATAAAATTTATTACCCCCCAAATTAGGGTGTAACTAAGGGGAAGAGAACTCCCTTCCCTTCCCTTCCATTCTCTCACCTAGTTTCCCTTAACTTCCCTTCACCCCCTACAAATCCAAACAGGCCCTAAAGAAACAATACGACTCTTATTAGCAGATTTATAGGGACTTGTAATTTACAACAGAACCTTGCATCAAAAAGAAAGGCATGAACATGATAAATGACTCTGCTAACAGATTCATAAAAGAGAAACCAAGACATGAGAATGATTTTTTTTTTCATGAACTGAACTAAGCAAAAATGTACCATCACGAACTCCTACATCATATACAGCCATGACAAACTTTCCAAACAAAAGTACTGACATTAAATTCTCCCTACATCATCAAGGGAGACCCTCGACACAAACTCAGGTTACAAAACATATAAACAAGAGGACCACAAAAATTTACAATCTCCAACTTAGCAATCATTCTCATCCTCCATAGATTCAAAAAGATCCAGTGAGTAATCTCGGTCTCAGGGCACAACAAAAGCTTAGATGGCTGATCGTGATGAACTGCTCAATGCTTCATTCAACCTACTGAAAACAAGTCTAAGTGGGATACAAGAAACAGCTTGACCCCCAATTTTACCGACAACTAACTTTCTCCCAAGCCCCTTTTCTTTGCGATCAACAGCAAATGAAGATAGTCTTCGAATTTTTCTAGTAGAAAAACCCAATTTTTTACCGCTGGTAGGTCTCTTATTGGACCATGGAAACCTATCTTTCTGCAATTTCTTGATACTGCTGGTACCCAAAACCTCAACAGTGACAGGATGACCTACAATGGCTTTTCCGTTAAATTTGCTCATAAGAGAAACTAGAGGAACTCTCTGCCCCTGGTAGTTTGATTGCACATTCAACTCGACATCATAAAGACAACAATTGTTCTCCTCTGACTCTCGGTATCTTGATGGTAACCGAATTTTTCGAGGTGGAAGTGCCATTTGAGTTGGCAAAGTGGAATTTACATTCTCAGCATTTATTGAAGAAATTTTGGGCTTTTGATCTTCAATCAAATCACGAACTTCTGAAACTGATATACATTTTATTTGTTGGCAACTACTGTCAGATGTCAGTGACTCATCGGAAGTGCTGTTCGCCGTTTCTTTTAGAGAACTTCTTTTATTCTTCAACAAGAAAGTTTCAGATTTGTTTGTCCTATAAACCATGCTTTCTGAATCTACAATCTTGTTCAAACTTAAGTGCCTCACATTCCTTTTCCCTTTGGTATGCCATTCTGAGGTACCCATATCAATTTTTTGTCCCATATTGTTAATTTGACTTGAAGAGCTAGTAGAACATGCCTCAACTAGTCCTTCATTTAACTGTGAAATTAGACTAACCTGAATGCAATGATTAGATTGGTTTCCTTCTCCTACGGAGTTCAGCTTTGCTGGTGAAAGTGCTTCGAGTGTAGGGGGGAGATCTGGCAGTGTAGAATCAGCATGTCAGAACAAGCAGAGCTACTTATGTTTTTATTTCTATCCAAAGGCAACAATATATTATCATGTTGAATAAATAACTATAAAGCCTATAAGAGGCAAAAGAAATGAGAGGGTACGGCAGATTTAAGCAATGGTCAGTGGCACTCCTAAAATATCAGCCCTTGAATTTGATAGAAATGCTCATTCCGGTTGGTCATTATTGCCTGCAATAGTGGCACTTCTTAATCTATATGTTCAAGATCCTCACATGGAGTCTATTATACAAAAAATCATCAATGTGCAGTAAGTGATCACACTTTCAATAAAAAAATTTAGGTGACAAGAAATTAGATGGAAGTAATTGGATATCCGCTTAGTCAGCAAAAGGGGATATACTTAGCATTACATAGTTATGTACATGAAAGCAAGTTTTGTAACTCACGAGAGATATATGCTGCTAGATTTGATAAAAGAATAGAGTGAACATAAAAACTCCATGGTCCTATGAAGATAAATGGTTGGAGAGAAAAGATGAATGCAACTATGCAAGTGTGGTGAAAATCCACCATAATGTGATGGCTAGATACCAACATTCTCCTAAAAAACGATTCAAATAGTTACTTTACTCAGCTCATTTTCTTTTACGAGACAGATAATTACTAAGTAAGCAATATAAAATATAGGTAAAAGGAAAGAAATTAAGGGATAACATAAGATTATGTTAAGTGACTGCAATTGACTGATATTAGATACTACTAGTAAGTGGCAAGTAGAGCAAGATGTGAGGGGAAATTTTTATTTTAACAAGTCCACTATTGATTGCTTGTGGTATTGAGTAAATGTAGGAATGCAAGCATAGGCAACACTATAATGCTAAGATTCATATCAAATGGATCTAGTATGATTTTTTTCTTTTTTTTCATGGCAACAAAATTTGAATAGTCCCAGACACAATCACATATACAAATTTTGAATGCATAAGATAACTGCACCTAGAGTATTACTGTAGTTAACATTCTTAAACAGGAATCGAGTAAAACCTCTATGAAATCGTAATAATGAGCTCCACATCTCGCTTCAATAAGGATATTAAATTTAGGAGTAAATGTAAAATGTTTTGTGAAAGTTACCCCAGCAAGATGGTATATGGCTGATAAATTAATAGCAATATTCATGCATGATCAAATAATTAAAAGGTAATTGACAGTACATACGTATCAGTTTCCTAAGAGAGAAGGTAAATTAGTAATCATTTAGAAGAGAAAGTAATTGCATCAGATATAGGATAATTGAAATCTGAAGAAACGTATTACCTTGAGCATTCTCACCTGCCATAACAGGAACATCAACAAAACCACCAGAGAAATCATTGTCAATAAACTCCAAAATGTCTGAAAACAGATCGTCTTTCATTTTGGAGTGCAAGTGAGCAGTTGCAGCATTACCAGCAATCTCATGGCTATTAAGTAAAGCCTCTTCACATGAAGTCCCTGAACAGTCCGGGCTATTATCAGTTACTGATGGATAGTCTTCCATCTTTGAAGTAGAATTCTCAGCAATAACTTTGATATCTGTCACACCCTGAGATGATTCTTCTGAAATAGTACTCTGATGATGAGATGGTTTCTTCACTTTTGTTGCATCCATCCAAAACTCTGCTAGTGAACGGCGGCGACATTTCTTTTTTGAATTCTCATTAGCTTGGCCAACATTGGGTCGTTTCCTTTTCAAAGACGAACAGGAATCTCTACTGCTATTTAGAGGAGTATCGCTAGAAAGATCATTATCAAAGTCCGACTCACTGAGTGAAGCAGTGTCAGGAAGAACACACCCATTTGGTTCTCTCTTTAAAATTATTCCCACTCCTAGATCATGAAGATCTCTCATGCGCTTCATTCCCTTAGTTGCATCATCCTCTGAATCATTTGGCGTTTTCCATCGCTTTTTTTGCATGTGCTGCATGTTGCTTGCGCTCAGTTTACAGCGGTGTACAAATGGGATTCCAGATTGGGACAACTTCTGATTTGCTTTTTTAAGTTTGCAGGATTTTTTGGCAACATCAGCTGATTCTTCATTTTGCCTTGTAATATTTGATCGTAGGCCAAAACTTTTATCCGATATTACAGTCGAACTAGTACTCCCATAAGCAAAGTTATGATTTCCACCCAAAGAGCGAGCCTCTTCAAGGTCAAGCGCATGGACGATTGCATCTTCTCTGCGGACATACTTCCCTTTATTGACCACTGGCTTTCTATTAGAGCGAAGTGCATGCTCCTTGGCCTTTTTGATGCATTCATCATACTCTCCGCAACGAAATGGCTTTACACGCTTTGATTTTTCAAGGTTATACCAGTCACTGAGTGCAAACAGAAAAGTTAAGTCGCTGATTAAAGGAAAAGAAAGGGAAAAAAATCATAACTACATTCTATTGATGAGAAGATAAGAAGTAAAAACATAAAGAGCGAAAAGAACATAAGAATTAAGGTTTCTCAGAGAACTAATTGATCAGTTATATTTCTCTATCAAAATAAAATAAATATAAAGGTAACTTTCAGGAAACAGGATTCTTCAAATGGTTGATCAGGACATGAAGATTGAAGACATAACCAATGCTAAACAAATCCCATCAGTAGGAATACATACAAAAACCCATGCAAGCATATCATTTTTAATATAAAATTTTACATGGTACCAATGAAAGATTCAAAAACAAATCATATTTAATTCGTGCTTTCTTAATTCCATGTACATTTGGAATAGTATATGAAAAAAGAAAAGAAAAATAGATTAGTCCTTCTGAGGCTTACTGGTGGTTCCTTTTACCTCAATCAAATGATGGGTGTACCCAATTTACTGTCATATGAGATGTATATGCAAATGATTGCCTCTGTACCTTTATATCTGGAGAAAACACTAACCAGTCCAGACATTAACACATGAATGTAGTCTATCAACTATGCTTTCTCTAATAGTAGAGAAGGATATAATGCTTTATATAGAATGAATTTCATTGAAATCTAGTTCAATAAAAGACATTGTCTTGCTTGACACACATATTTGAAGTGTTAAGAAACTGGACAAAGCAATAACAAAGTGGAAGCTACAAGTACATGTTATAGTATGTTAATATTATTTTTGTACAACATAATGACCATTCAAAGAGATGAAACTACAATCTAAGACAAGCATAGTCTGTGTAGTACAAAAGGTGGTTTCTATCACCAAAAACTTAACAAAGAGCTAAGGTGTAAAACAAAAGCAAACATGGATCTCAATTGCCTTGGAAGTTATGACAGCTACAAGAAATATTTTTCTTTTTCTGCTAATCTTAAGAAAGGTCCCTAATAAAAATATAGTCAAAGAAAATTGAATTGATCATATAAGTCGAATAAGAAGAACCCATTACTGTCATTGTAAATGCTCTCTGCGCATTTTTTGCCTACATAGTAGCTTATGGATCACAATTCCCTACAGGAATTGAAATAGTGACCAAATGTTACGCCTGCTTGTTAGCCCGAAAATCAACCTCCGTCAACTTGCGACATTCCTAGCCGAGAAAAGGCAAGCACCTTAGCATGAAAAAAGTTTAGAGGAAGTAAATACTGTTAAATTCTCTACTATACAATCAGCTAGCATATATGATGAGAACTCAGTCCAAAAAACAATGGTCAATTGCAGATAACCCCCTTTAATCTACACTTTCAGTAACACTTATCACCCTCAACTATTTTATAAGCACTTAACACCCCCACAAAACAAAAGGGAGAGGGGGCCTATCTGCAATTCATTCTTTAAAAAATTATCAATCTCTGGGTGTTAAGGGCTAATAAGAAACACCCAGCTTAAGCATAACAATGAAAAGATTCATGCACAAAGAGATCAAAACCCTAGCAAAGGAGAGATGCTCACACACTCCCATCCTCTTTCCCAAGAAGTTTGATGGGAGTCCCCGATTTCGGCATGTTCAAGCAAATCTCCGGCAGCTCGTCGATCCCAAGAACCCGGCCAGGCCACCAAGATCCATTCCGCCGGCGAACCCAAACTAGGGCGCCAGGCGATCTATCAATCTCGAATCCATTATTATCTTCATCGCTCTCCATTTTCGACCTGCGACCAAGAAACCCTAGCTCGTAAACCCCTAAGATTCGAGGAAGCAGCTCAGTTCGAAACCTATCTGAAGGAAGAAAGGGGTTTTTTCGAAAGAAGTGAGCTGGGTTTGTTAGAGAGAGAGAGAGATCGATTGAGCTGAGATTTTTTGGTTTTTTTTTTTTTTTTTTTTTTGTTTTTTTTTTTTTGAGAGAGAGAGAGAGAGTACCTGTAATGGCTACAGCAGACTGGGGAGAGAACACCGAGCACCGTTGAAGAGAGGACAAAAGAGAACAGAGGGGAGAGAGAGAGAGTAATTGGCTGGAAGAGACCAAGTTGGGATCTTTGTGATGATCAAGCAAAAGAGCTCTAAATTACTAGATTGGTATATTTTGTCGAGCCCTTATTTTTTTTAGTATAAAATTCTTAAAAGTCAATGCAGCTATGAATTGAACCTTCGACCTCAACCTGGTAGCTACAGTAACTTCTAGTTAAAACGGATCAAAATGACGGGGATTGCGTAGAGCTTGTCACCTAAGCTTATTAGTAGCCACATCACCCTACTATTTGCTCAAACAAACAAGGTAATCATTTGAAAGCTAAGGTAATCCTGGCATCTCACATGGCTCGTCACGTTCATCTTACGTAGCTTAATTGGGTTTACGTAGCAAAGGTTAATCATGATCTTTAACTAACCGTTATGAAAAGAATCCACAAAGTTTTACTACTCTCTTTTTCCTCTATTCTTTATTCACGTGAGAGAGAGAATGATTCTTTCCCAAATTGCGGAGATTCTCTAACTCAATTTCCATTTTCTTAATTCAATTTAATCCTAAGATGAAGAAGAACACCCAATTTGATTGTCATTTTTTTGAGCCTTAATTTAAATAAAAATAATAATTTTCAACTCAAATGAATGAGCCCAACTACTTGCCCCGTAGGAAGCCACGATATCACACGATGAGTTACGTTACTTTTAGTCGCCAGAAATTTTGCTTCGACCAAAAAATAGGAATTGTCGTCACCGGTCCCACTTTATATACCTTATCATCGCCAGAGTAAAGTCAACAAAACATACTAATCTAATAATTTTACCAATATCAAAGGGTAAATTTCACAAAACACGGATTTTAGAATGTTTTCCTCAATTCTTTTTGAACTTTATATAAATTAGTGAAATTACCCTACGACTTCCACAATATAAAATCTTGTTATGTGAAGAATAAAAGATACACACTGCTCATGCTACTATCAGTGTACTGAAAACTAATGAGAAACAAGAGAGTTCGATCATTATTAGAGAGAAGTTAAATGTGTCATACAGAGCCTATTGTCCATCTCAATTTTCTCCATAAGATGCTCAAACTAGATTCAATTTATACCAAAAATAGGATTTATTACCGCACTTTATGATCTTCACAACAATAAGCATCCAAAATCAAATTGGACGCAATACACTGGCGACATCTCTCTCAAGTTCCTTCCCTCGTGCACGTAGATATATTATATTTATGATACAACAGAATAATTACAGGTCCATAATATCATCTTCTAGCTCCAGTATAAGCATTGTTGAGATGTGGAAGCCGCAGTTTAAATAACAGGCGATAAAACTTGCGTCTGTTTGGTTGTTTGAATTTAAATTATCCAGAGCTGTGATTCAAACGCATCCTTGATCGCTCATAGCCTGGGCAAGATTAAGAAAGGCGCAGATGTTTCCACCATGAACTAAAGCTCTGCAGCAAGAACAAAATATCAGTATTAAGTTGGACACGAAATTGAACAAATATCTCTAGATGCAAATGAATATCTGAAGAAGTTAGAACATGAGTTGAAAACGGAGAGGACAAAAGTCATTAGAAATGTAAATCTAAATGATGATGATGATGATGTGAACAAACAATACGGAGTAAGTTGTGTGCATACTTGTATTTATCTTTCTTGTGTCACGATTTTAATGATTATAAATACCAACGTTCCGAAAGAGCCTTCTCAAAACTTTTAGAAAAATAGGCGCCCCGACTCCAAAGTGTTTTTCCGCTTTACATGTGTTTTCTTTTCCAGATGGAGGGTTTTTCTCATAATAAGATGAAGACCACTTTTGTTAATATAGGTATTGTCATTTACCAAAATCAAATGAACAATTATAAGCCAATAAACAGCTCAAAAGACTCAAATAAACTATGTTCTAATATAGGAATTCATATAGAATATTTAACCGCTAAAAAAATCTAAGCACATTTCACAATACTTACTCTGGGTTCTCTTTTAAAAATCCATAATCGCTGGCAGCTTTAATAGATCTCTCATATGTCTGCTTCATTGTATCCTGTCAGCAAAAGTACAGATTATAATATTTGTTTCCAAAATAGTGTTATATGCCATAACCCTTTAATCCTTTTTTTTTTAACCCTCAACAGAGAGCAAGTAATTACTGAATAAAATACCCAAGAACCTGCTAATTTAGGTTGCAGGAAGTAATAGTTATTAGTATTGATGTCCACTTTTCACCATAACCGTTATATTATGCACTCTCAGCAAACATACAGATTGTAATATTTGCTTTTCCATAAAAAAATATATTATGTGGCATTTATTTTGTAACAACTATTTTGCTTCTACAGTAATAAAGTAATTAGTGACTGAAGTGCCACTCTTTACTGCTCTAGTAGGCTGGAGGACGGAGACCAACAAGACAAAAGAATTGCATGGGACACAAGGAAGATTGGATGTGTGCAAGTATGAAGTGATTGCCTTATTCCTTTGTAACGCCCCCGGTCCGCGAGCCCGTTGGTGCGGTGTAAGCAGTGGGACCACTGAGAGTAACTTATTGTTTGGCTAAATTCACTGCTAAAAGGTGCTAGCACTAGCTGCTCTTGAACATTTTGACTTCACTATTTAAACCATTCAAAGTCCTTTAATTTTCCCGATGTGGGACTATTTGGGGATCACAATCGCCCCACCTTTAATACACAATGTCCTCGTCACAACATGACAATTAGCCAAACGATGTGACCCACCGCACTCACGCGGTGTCGCACTTATTTCCGTCTAGCACTTATATCCACACTTTCAGCTGACTAACTGCTCTGATACCATTTGCCATGCCCCAGGCCCGCAAGCCCATCAGCACAGTGTAAGACGTGAGACCCACTGAGAGCAACTCATTGTTTGTCTCAATCCACCGCCAAATGGTGCTAGCACTAGTTGTTCTTGAACCTTTTGACTTCACTATTTCAACCATTCAAAGTCCTTTAGCTTTCCTAATGTGGGACTATTTGGGGTATCACATTCTTATTTGCTAATTAGTAAAATTATGCCAGTAGCACAAAATCAAATTTCACACCAAAGATATAAATCTACCTGCAATTTTGTCTCAAAATCATCAGCAGACCATTGCAACAAATTGTATTCCTGGTTCATTTCAATTTCACCAACAGCAACCTGCTAGATAACAAAATTGTGGCAATGGGATCAAACCACGTTATGTAATATCTACAAAGAAAAATTAGGAGGTGTATATAAATCCTGAAGTCGTGTTATGTAATATCTGCAAAGAAAAACTAGGGGTGCGTATAATCCTGAAAGTAAGTTTCGATGTTGTCCAAAATAAATTGAATGAACTACTAAGTGAGGCCAAGCAAACAGCTCCTGCATCTAAACTGGAATCTGGAGGCATCCACAAACAATGAGAACAGCTATTATTTTATGCTTACATTTGTATCAAATACCGAGTAAAAGAGAGTTAAAGGGCTGACTCATTTCTATAAGTCTATGTAAGTCCCTTCTGCTATATGCTTTCTGTAACATTAAATGTGCGCTCAGGATATTTATAGTCAATGGCCACTCATCTCGGGTCAATTTTTCCAAGAATAAGAAATTATACTTTCTTTACAGTATATGAGCTATTGTTACCTAACAAATCCATGATGCACAGGTACTGCTTGCAATGGAGCTTACTCCATTTAGCTATCCAGATAGCCTGAAACTTCCTAAAGCAAATTATATCTTCCTCCCCATTAGGCTAGACTCCACGAACAAAATTAATTTTGAGGATTGGTCCTAGCTTGCACAAGTGTACATATAGAAATAGATATGGCAGACTTAAAAAAAATTAAGAATGCAAGGCTTTATGTAAGACGATTACTTATCGCCAAGGAGTCCCTTTCAATCAAATTCAAAGAAAATGTATTGTTTACCGTAATTAGAGTGCATTTGATTATGATAATTATGTCCAAGTTCGATGACATAAAATGGCATAAATTAGACCAATTCGTAAAACTGAAATAAGAGTCTAACCCCTCCAGCACTGGCGCCCTTTGCTGGAGCAACCAAAATCTTAGCTTTCCTTAGTACATCTATTGCTTGTGGTGTACATGGCATACTTGAACCTGCTTTTTGAAAGGGATTATTTAATCAACAGCGGATGAAATGGATGAAAGTAGATAGTTACCAGAGCTAAATCAAATTTCAATAGATTTCACCAGTTCCTCCCATACCTTCCATTATTAGACGGCAACCAGAGTTAACCAAAGCAAGGGCATCAGAGTGGTCGATTTCATTTTGTGAAGCACATGGAAATGCAATATCGCAACTTTCATTCCAAGGCTTCGCATCCTCAAAGTACTTAGCTCGCGCGTAAGACTTCAAGTAGTCTCTGTCATATTGCAAAAATGGGCTTAATGTTCCATGTGTTACAAAGGCACAAATCAGAAGTTGCAAACACTGAGTAACATGTTCAAACCTCAAGTTTCTCTGCTGAGCCTTTATGTCTCTAAGCAGTGAAAATTTTACATAATCAAAACCATCTTCGTCTAATAAATAGCCCTTGGAATCTGTTAAATAATGAAAAAGAATGATTACACCTGACACTGAGTGATTGAGCCAAATAAAGAAATACCGTCGTTTCTGCCACTTGGACAGCGTGAACACAACAAAGTTATATCTGGAATATTTCTTCCATCATAAAACAAATTTTTATGGTAATTTTTTAAAATGGCACCTACTTTTTCATGAAACACATGAAAGCAAAAACCTACATATGTAGCAGCCACATCATCAAATTGATGTTGAAAAAACTAATAACGGTATTGTGCTCCATTTCTAAATTTAGCATTGTGCATGAAATAGTAGACCATAGTTTTGGCTTTTACAGAGTAATGAGTGCCTGGTATGGACCTATCTTACATAAATTTTCATGCTTACAAAAAAGCACAAATAGTAAAAGAAGCAATCATTAACAGGATATGGAGGGCCATCATGATGAAGGGTTCCAGAAACCCATTTGTATGGCATCTCATCAATTAGAAGCGTCTTTGTGGGTGTTCCAATGATCAAAATAATCAGAAAAATAGTGAATCACCACATAACTACCCAACTTCCAGAACCAAAGGAATTGCTAGATATTAGTATCACCATTTCATCAAGTTGATTGCCTATTTTCCATGTGTTCAAAGATGACTATATCAAACTCCAAGAATGTAATGGTAGCCGTCTTAAAAGTAGAATTACCGGATCAAATCGCTCCCAATCATAGAATTATCCTTGCCAACTGATCAATAGACATGAGATATAATTCGGAAAAGTTTATTTGAGCTATGTTAAACTTTTTTCTTAGCAAGCGAATAATATCAAACTTTTAAAAGTTACCTGATATAGTTATGGGGATAGCACCACAAGAAAGAAGCTTTTCCAGGACATGCATCGCTATTTTCCCAGCACCGCTCACAACACATCTGAGAAGGGGGGAAAAGTACAGATGAACAAACAACAATAAGAAAGCAAGTGTGCATATCCATTTGACATTTGTTTCCTAGCATAAAATTAAAGAAACTTTAGAGCGAATTAAGAAAGATACCCTTGATCAAATCAATGTTACAACAGAGACAACCATATAATAGTGAGTAGCACTCGAATGATATCATCAGGATATGATGTCGCATTTTTAAAAGGACACCAGCACAGTTAGCAAAATCATTGAGGTCGTTTTAGCTATGTTGCAAATCAATGTGAAATTCACTTCAAGCACCTTATGAGCAAGCATGTTGTTCATAGTAGTCAGTTTGCAATATGATGCACATTGCTCATAATATGGAGTTTGACTCAAGGCATGCATATTGCATACAAACTAGAGTCGTTATCTTTAGCACTGCTCGGTATTGCCAGAAGACAAACCATAGTGTAAGATTTTCCACAAAGCAGTTTAGCTAACTTTGTATTACAACAAGTTTCAAGAGGTTCTCTGCTCAAACCTGAAAATTGACAATTAATATGATTATATTACCACCAGGTTGTCCAGCTTTCAAAGCAATTTATTCCCGGGAGGCACGTTGAGAAGAAGTATCAACATACGTGAATTATATTGTCCGCACACAAACCATCAGCTTAAAGCCTTAAACTTTTGGTTTAATTACGTCACAACTACAAAGGAGATCTACACCTTCATTATCAAGGCTTATTCCATCAAAATGTCAAGCTCCAAAAAGACAGCTTCTTATCACAGA